ATGTATGCATGCATGCAGGCAGGCAGGCAGGCAGGCAGGCAGGCATGCATGTATGTGTGTAAACTCGGGAAAGGCATGGAGGCTCGTCTCTGCATCTCAAACCTTTTGACCCTTTCGTTCCGTCAGGATGGTACTTGAGCTCTGTGGGTTTCGACGATGCCACTTGTCTGGGCCGGTTTGGAGTTTGAGCTTCGGCCGTTGAACCTTGAGCCGTCAATCCGCAGTCCTAATGCGCTTTGCTTGCAAACCTTGAGATAAACCCCGCCATAAAGCCACCCCGAAACCTTACAATCCTCAACTATGGGATGGAGGGTTTGGTTTCTGTAGACCCTTCTCATAAGCAATGCCATCGGAACGGTGTCCCAGGATTTTCTAAACCACTCACTGCTGTCAGGGTGCTATATAGGTTTCCTTTTCTGTCAACCAATGACCACATTCCGGAACCAGTCAGCATCATCCTCACAACATCCAGCGCACCGCCCGGGAGACCTAAGCTCTAAAACCTAAACTAACGGAAACAGATGACCGGGCGCGGGTCGTGCGGAACGGTTGGGCCACCGAACCATAAACGCCCAAACCCTAAACCATAAAGTGTACAGGCCCTTGGCTCCAAACCACAAGCTCCAAACCCTGGACCACGCCTGCGTCTCAGGTCAAAATCCTCGAGTTTACGGAGAATGCCATACAGGGCTTCGACAGCTACAGTGTCCCGCGAGACACGGCATTCCTGGCCTCTCGGATGGCAAAATCTCCAAAGATATGCAAGCATAATATAGGGGCCTAAATAATTACCTATACTCTTTTGGATAGTGGTGTGCTGGGGAATGAGATTTCTGATATACTCTCCAAATGGATACGTAGAGTCCAGGATGATCCATGGCAGCGTTGCCTTCCTGGCTGGTTAGCGGTCTTTGCGCAACATGAGTTGCAGGAGTGGGCCTGGACGGCCTGCACCTCGTGCTGTGACACTCTTCACTTCTTTTGCTTCGAGTCTGAGGCATTTCGTATGCAGCGACTTGGTCTTCGACCTACTGTTGCTCCCACTCAAGGTATTCAGAAGTGTGAACTGCCGGCAGGCGATGTCAGATGCACACTGCGCGTCATCACCTTCAATGTGCTTACAATGCGGGACCGGCCCACGGGTCCTGCTGACTCATCGCACGAAGAAGTTGGAATGAGGTTGACAGGCCGCAAACGTCTCCTTCAACACTCCCTCCTTGACTTTGGCTCCCATATTGTAGGCTAGCAAGAGACGCGCTTGCCAGCCAATACAGCACAACATGATGGCGAATATCTGATCTTCCAGTCGCAAGCTAGTGATCGTGGTGTAGGTGGCTGCTCGCTGTGGCTGTCCAGGCTTCGTCCTTATGCTACACGGGCGAGTAAGCCGTTGTTCTTCCAAGCCGATCAGGTCACGGTCACCAGCTTTTCTCGCCATTTGCAAGCTACGATTGTCGCACCTTGCCTCAAAGTTGCTATCGCGGTCCTACATGTCCCATCGTTAGCTCACACCTCTTGGGACAATGTCGTTGCCTTCTGGCGGGATAGACTCCTTGATTTGCTGGGACGCCCCGAAGGCACCGAATTGGTGGTTTTAGTTGATGCCAATGCCAGGCTGGGAGATGTCGTCTCTGATTGCATTAGGAGACCTACACGGTGAGACAGAGCAGGCTGCGGGGGCTCTGTTCCATCAGTTTGTGTCCGACGTCGACGGCTATGTTCCCTCCACCTTCCCGCACCATCACACAGGAAGCTCGGGCACCTGGCGTTCTTCCACCGGAAGCTGGCATCGTCTCGACTATGTTGTTGTACCCAAGTCTTTGGTCACACTGTGAGATGACTACGCAGGTACTGCAGGGCTTTGAGACACTTCAAATCAAGGAAGATCATTTGCCAGTTGCTTTGTCTGGCTCCTTTAGCTACAAAGCCAAGCCTGCCTACTATGAGGTTAGCAGGAGAAAGGCACTGCACCCTAGGCGCCCTGCTACTCTGCAGGAACAGATACGTGCCACTGAGAGCCTTCAAGCCATTCCAGTCTTTCCGTGGTGGCAGGATGTTGATTCGCACTGTGAGGCACTTTCTCAGGCCTGGTGTCGAGCCGGACAGGCGGTGTGCCAGGATAATTTAAGATAAAGGTTGCCCAGCAGCCTTACTTGCCCCCTGAGGCCCTTCCCGTTCTTTCGGAAAGCGATTGGTGCCTACCTGCGTGCAGAGAAGGTCGAATTTAACAGGCGTCTCATGCTCGGCGGGAAGCAGCCTTTTCGAGAACGCAAAGAGCCCTTGCAGATCGCTGGTTGGGTGACATTGATTACAGCGAGGCCCTCGCTCTTGCTTTGTACTATGATCATGGCCGTGAGCTCAGCGTCTTGTTTCCATTGGCAGACGTGCTTATCTTCAAGGGCTAGTTGATACTGCCTCCTCTTGTTCCCTTCGTGAGCCGAAAGAGCTGTTCCGGGCCACTCGTAAAGCCTTTCCAGCAGCTAAAGCTGCTCGCCGTGCTGCCCTCTGCCCTCTTCCGGCCCTGCGACTTGCAGATGGCACTATGGCCGCTACTACAGAACAGAGAGCTTCGGTATGGCGACAGCACTTTGCTGCTCAGGAGGCAGGCGAGCGTCACCAATGAAGAATACCTGCAGGCATTTCGTGCTTCGATTGGTCCTGTTTCTTCGCCCTCCTTCGATGTCAAGCTTCTCCCCACACTTGGCCAGGCCGAACGCACTATTCTCACTTTGCGCAACGGCGAGGCATGTGGACCTGATGGGGTGACGGCTGAGCTTCTAAAGTTGTCAGCGGTTGACTCTGCAAGGAAGCTCTTACCAGTAATGCTCAAGTCGGTCCTTTCTGTGTGTGAACCAACGGCGTGGCGTGGAGGCGATCTTGTCCTCATAGCAAAAAAAACAGGTGAGGCGCTGTCCTGTTCACAATACCGGTCCGTCCTCGTTGCCAATATCACAGGAAAAGTCTTCCACCGTTGTGTACGCGCTGCGGTCACCCCTCTGCTTGAGGAGGCGCAGCCTCCCCTCACAACGGGGGCAACTGCGGGTGCCGGCATTGAAATCCCTGCACTCGCTTTCAAAATGTCAAAAGCTTTCAACTCCTGTGCGAAGCCCGACGACGCCCATGGGCGGTCGTTTTCTTTGATTTGCAGACCGCTTATTATCAGGTCCTGAGGCAGACCATAGTCAGCAATACCGAATCCGACGAGGGTCTTCTTTCTCTTCTCTCCAAGCTACGATTGCCTGCAGCAGCGCTTGTCGAGTTGAAACAGAAGCTGTCTCAGTTAGCGGCTCTTCCCAGAATCGGGGCCACAGAGCATCTACATGCTCTGATTCGTGACCTACTGTCAGGAACATGGTTCAGAATCAGTGGAGATGCGCTCCTGACCTTGACGCATCGTGGATCCAAGCCAACTAGCAGACGCACTTTTTACGGTCACACTCTCGGCCTATATGTGGTCCGTAAGTGACTCACTCCGGCGGCTCCGGCTCCTTCCTGATATCCCGAGTCCAGCACGTCGTGCTTGTTGGGCTGAGACTGACTCGAGCCTGGAGTTGGGATGTCCTTCCTGGGCAGTTGACTGTGCTCTTTTGCAAACTGGTGACACCACCACCGACCTTCTATGCCGTGTTGTGGCCAGCACGGAAACTGTGGTCGCCCATGGCAGGTCCCTTGGCATGACTATCGAATTTGGCGTAGACAAGACCGCTGCGCTCATCACCTCCTCAGTCGAAAGGAACACACGCTTCGCTTTATGGCAAGATGATGTGGGAAGCTGGTTCTTGACGATCCGCGACCAGCTTGATGGCTCGGAGCTCGCACTCCCAGTGGTAGATGCGTATAGGCATTTAGGCGGAATAGTCGTGTCCAATTGTAATCCCACACCGGACTTACACTACCGCTACTCTAATGCGTTTGGCCTTGCCCGTGCACTTCGACGCAGGTTGTTTTCCTCTTCTTCCTTCGAGTTGTCCACACGACGCACTCTCCTGCGTTCGTTAGTGATCTCGAAGTTTGTGCACACAAGCACTGCCCTGGTACTTCGTGCCTCTACCCACAATCGCCTATGAGAGCGTTATTATGTCGGACTTTGGCGTTGTCTTTTTCGACGCCGCGCAGCCGATAAGCAAGAGCATCCACTTGAGGTTCTCGTGGTTTGGGCAACTTGCCGCCGATGTTCGCTATGTGGCCACCCTCCTGCCTGGAGTCAGGGACCTGCTTCAGGCAGACGATCCTGTTCCTGGACTACTCGATGCGGTTGCGGAGCGGCCATAGTGGTGGGCCAAACAGGTCAAGGCTGCGGAGGCGTGTCGAACCCTTTCTGTTGCGCAACCTGTGGCTCTAGGTTCAGGCTTCGCAAGCACTTGCATGTTCATATGGCGCGCTCGCGTGGGCAATTTGCTCCGGCCAGTTATTTTGCCATCTCGGAGTATTGCCAGGCATGTATGAAGTGGTTTCGGTAGAGCAAGTACAAATGCACCTCAAGCAGTCTCCATAATTACTGCTTAAGACGTTCAGCACAGCTCTACCCCCCGTTACAGCTTGAGGACATTCGCAGGCTGGAGGCTCCTGGTAAGCTTCGCCGTAAGAAGGTCATCGCTGGAAACTGGAACGTGTTTACTGCTCTGCCTGGTCCCCGCAAGGCCGCGTTGACTTACGGGCCAAGTCTCCCTACGGCGCAAGAACGTTGCTCTTCAGGCCTTGACTTTTGGTCAGAGGACGTGACTCTTGATGCCTTACGCTCCTGCTATCACCCTCCTCCTTCGGTAGTGGACTGGATCGAGGAACACCTGGCTGGGGCAAGCACGGAGGGACGACGGCAGACCGCATTGCGGTTTTGGCAACAGCGGCCGAGTTTGTTTCACTTGAATTCAGCATGAAGTTTTGGGACGCGCCGTACTAACGGCCCGACAGTCCGCCACCGAACAGCTCTTTTGGGGGTTCCTTATGATATATAGTTATAGTATAGTATACACCAAAACCTTTTTCTACTCGTAATTATTAAGGCCCCTACATTAGCCCACTTGTCCGGGTCAGACACCAGAACCCTAAAGTCTAAACCCTAAGCCGCTAAAGCCTTAACTTCTAAACCCTGGCCTATAGGTTTGTCCTTAACCCTTCAAGTACCTACTATATACGGCCCTCGGGGCTCTAGTACCCTATATAGCAGGTACCTGGGGGTTAGGGTGTCGGCTTACAGAATTTAATGATCGGTTGGCCTGAGAAGAAAGAGGTGAGGGAAGTAGGGCATGCACGTTGAAACACAAACAAATAATCGCGACAGATACAACAAGTGGCAGTCATGCTAAACCAAAATGGGACTGTAAGGATACTATGTGGTTTCGATCAGCGTACTTTAAACTCACAAGTTTGCTACAACGGCACTACAACTATCAGGGTTCTGCAGGGGTTCTACTGTAGCACGTACAAACTTTACCAGGCGTAAAGTGCCTCCCACTGCTGTAGCTCGCCCCCGCCTGTGTTTTGAGTTAACACACCCTAAACCCTAAACCTAATTGGCTTCCCTTAATCGCTCAGGCCTGCTGCGAGCATACACTAAGGGCAGGCTTTCGGGCTTTAGAGTGCGTTGCAAGATTAGAAGTAGAAGGTGCCCATGGCTCCAAAAAACAACCCTGTAGCCCTCGACCCTAAACCCTAAATCCTAGCCTAAACCCTAAACCTTAAACCCTCGCCTTAACCCTAAGCCCTAAACCCTAAACCCTAGCCTAATTAAACCCTGAGCCCCAAACCCTAAACCCTAAGCCCTAAGCCCTAAACCCTAAACCTTAAAGCCCTAAAGCCTAAAGGCCCTAAAACCCTAAAGCCGAAAACCTCGAGGCTGGTGTTTGGACGTTCTGGATTTCGGGTGTTCGGGACTTTCGGGTCGTGAGCTTCTGAGATTCGGATCTCCCATAGGCTCCATTGTAGTTCCTTTCTGGGTTGGGGTTTAGGGTTTTTAGGGATTGGGGCTTGGGGATTAGGGTTTAGGGGTTTAGGGGTTTAAGGGTTACCTTAAACTAGATTCCGCAGTAGTTCCTTTTTGCCCTTTTTGTTTGTCGGGGCCCTTAGTAAACCCAAAGAGTAGGAAAAAAGGGTGCCCTTATTGTTCGGGGTCTACTGGGGAACCTAGTAAAGGTTGCTAAATATAAGCCACAAACAGGAACTACAATGGAGCCTAAGGGTTCTTACTAGACTGTCTCCATATTTAAGAGCGTGCTATAAGGCGATGCATTCTGTATAGCGACTGAGTTCACCAAAGCTACGAGCACTTGTAACATTGCTTTGTAAGCGTGCACTACGCAAGGAACTGCGTGTGACAGATCACATGTTCGGCTACAGCTGCTTTTGTTGTGGTTTGCACTAAACCCAAAACCCTATCAACCCTAAACCTTATTTGACTGTATGGCATGGTTCTGTTCAATCAGCGCGGACCCATTTTATTTCCTGCAGTTCGTCGCTGGGTTACGACTGCAGTAATAGGACTGTGGACAAAACAAAACTCTGGCCCTGACATGTGCAGCACTGTTCAGGGTTTAGGGTTTAGGTCTTAGGGTTTATGCTAGGCTGCTAGGCTACCCTTATAGTTATGTCACAGAACCCTTCTTGTGCTCTGGCATGACCCTGATAGAACCTAGCACTTGTATAGTCCCCTGGTACAACCCTTAAATTTCCCCCACAGAAACTTCGGAGAAGACTCCGGGGGTTCAGGATTAAGGTTTCCGTTCGTGTGGCGAGTCTCGTCGTTTAGGATTTAGGGTTTAGGGTTTCCAAAAACCCTAAGAAACTGAGCTGAAGGTGGCAAAGCAAGTGGGCACGTCCTTGGGTTTCACGTACAGAAGGCGCCTGAGGTTTTTGTGACCTGCCATCGTTTGAAGGTTAGGGTTCGGGATTTGGGTCTGGATTCATGTAGAGGTTTATTTGTTGAAGGTGAGCCAGCAGATTCCTGCAACTTGCAAACTCAGAACAGACAAGGGGTTCTACAAACCACAACCGGATGTTTCGGTTCCTGCGAACCACCGAAAATCCGGAAAGGGCCAACTAGTTGCAAGGACTTCACCGATTGGTAGTACGTAGCTGTTCCTCACACCCACGTCAAATATGTTGGTATTGTGAAGAAGCTAGACCAATCATTTTTCTTGCAGCCACGAATATTGAGCCTGAAATGCTAAATCTTAATTAAGTGCCGCAGCCCCAAACCATATTCCGGCAAACCCAAAGCTTTCCAACCAGCTTTGATTAAAGTTGCCAGAGGAATCCAAGTGGTAAGAAAAGCCTGCAACACTTCCCAATACCCCAAAACCTAGATGCCTACACCAGAACACCCAAACTCGATTTTACCCTAAACCCCAAACCCTAAACCCCAAACCCTAAACCCTAAACCCCAAACCCTAGACCCTGAACCCTCCTAAACCCCGAACCGGAAAGCACCCAAGCGTGGTTGGGGCCTCGTCGTGAAGCCTACACCCTAAGCAATGGAAACGAACCTCCGCAGATCCTGATGAACACCGATAATCCGAGATGGAAATCTACAGTGGCTTTATCCGTGAGATTTTAGACAATCCTTATTGAAGCCTTTTCCCCAGGTTGCTCATTGAGATACATATATACTTTTGCCCAGTGGGTTAGTGGACAGCATCTTTTCAGAACAGTCTACGTAATGCCTTGTAAGTCCCTCCTAGCACCCTTGGGCCCAAACATTAGACCTGAATACACCTTCCTGTACACCCTTGTAAGACCTCGTACGGCCCTTGCGACGACTGCTGAACGCTAGAGCCCTAGGTACGAACCAGAACAAACTTTGCACAGCCTGTTATCATACGCGCGTGAAACAACACAAAGGCTTACAGAGAAGCCGAGGGTCCAAACCTTGAAGCCCCAATAGGATATGCAAATATCTTCCGCTTTAGGGTCTATTGGGTTTTAGGATTTAAGGTTCAAAGTTTAGGGGCTTAAGGTGTTTACGGTTTAGAGTTCCTGTCTTCAGAGCTGCAAAGCGCGGATGCCGCAGGCTGGATTCCACGAGTGAGCAACTTGCTGGCACCTCAAATCTCACAATCTGCAGGCTTTCTATCCCCTCCAAGCCGTACTGCTGTTTATTGCAAAAACCGAAACTTGAAACCCGAAACGCTAATCTAAACCCTAAACCACTTCACGACCCCTAACCCCCAGGTTCCTACTATATAGTGTACTAGAGCCCCTAGGGCCCGTTTGGATCACCTGGTGTGACGCCTGGAGTTTCGGGTTATTTACTTCCGATCTCTGCTGGGGAAGGAAAGCTGGGGGGTTTCAGAGTCTGATGAACCTGTAATATAGGGTCCTTAACTTAATAACTACCAATACTATTTCGGGGGTTCCTTATTGTTATTATAGTATCATGTACCCCAAACCTTATTTTAATGATTCAGGCTCCTATAGTACCTGAACCAGAGGTGGTAGAAAGGCCAGGAGCTTGGTTCCCTCTATCCAGCTAAACCCTAAACCCTAAACCCTAAACCCTAAATCCTAAACCCTAAACCCTAAACCCTAAACCCTAAACCCTAACCCCTAATCTCCTTCTGCCCCAGACTCCGCGGCCCCAGATCCGCGAGCCCCCCGAAACCCCAAACTCCCCAAAACAAAAGCCAGATCCTAGGGTTTAGGGTTTACAGGGTGTAGGGTTTAGGGTTTACAGGGTTTAGGGTTTAGGGTTTAGGGTTTAGGGTTTAGGGTTTAGGGTTTACAGGGTTTAGGGTTTAGGGTTTACAGGGTTTAGGGTTTAGGGAGTAAAGCCTACCTAGACCCTGAAGAACCTACTTTTTTTGAAGGGTTCATCTTCGGAAATAGGAATAGGCAGCCCTGAAAAGGGTAGATTCTTTCGGGTCTAGGTAAACCCTCCAGCCAGATCCTCAGCCCCATGTGCCCAGACCCCCAAAAGGATCTAAAACATAGATTCCTATAAAGTACCCTTTAGTGGTTAGGGTCCCAGATCCCCTGAGGGGGTTCCTACAAAGTACCCTTTAGTAGTTAGGGTCCCTAATTAGGAGATCTTTTTTTAGATCCTTTTGGGGGTCTGGGTGAAGACAGGTGGGTGGCAGTTCGCTCTTCGCTGGCAAGCCCGGAGATCAAGCAGAGCCTGTCGGACCCGGGCGGGAACGGAAAGGTCGGAAGTAAGAGGCACGTATCCCCTTTTTGAGTGCCTATATGTCTATACCCATACCTATATATATATATATATATGTACATACCGTATCTGTATCTACATCGGCATACATATACACGTATGAAATCCTACATCTTGAAAAATAGTTCTTTGCTACTCTCTATTCTCCTCCCAGCCCTATTCTAACTACAGTATGTTAGGTGCTGAGTGCTATTTTTCTCCCGGCTCCTTTGACTATAACTGTAACCCCGGGTTGCGCCTGGGAGAAGCTGCGGCAATGGTGCGCAGCGGGGTAGGGTTTAGGGTTTAGGGTTTAGGGTTTAGGTTTTCATTCCAACCTGCTGCCATCAAGCTGTCATGGCAGCTTTGTTCTGTTCATGGCCATAGATGTCCCTTGGTCCGGGCTTACGCTTATCCCAGGCTTCTTTCGGAAGAATTTGCCTGTCATTGACAGCGTGGTGTGGGGCTGCCATTTTGCACAGGACTTAGGGAGCCATGTTCGGGATCCTGCCATTTCGCGTTGAAATGAAACAAATGAAAAGCTAGCAGCTAGCAGCCATCCAGTTCATTCAGACCCCTATGCGTTATGGAATCCTCATAGCGAAGCTCTTATAGAAGCCTTTGCTTCGGCAGGAGCTGCCACTGTGTGACAAGGACAGCCACCTGCTGTTCATAAACAGCGCCACTGGACTGACAATCACAGCTGCCGCCAGTTTGGGGTTTATGCTTCACGGCATACCCTAACCCCCCAGGTACTTACTATATAACTATATAAGGTACTGGAGCCTCTAGGGCCCTGTATAGTAGGTACCTGGAGGGATAGGGAGAGAGGTTCAGAGTCTCAGCTGCCTGGAGCGTCAGCACCAGCACAGGAAACTTAAGATACACGACCCTCAAATTCAAACATCTGAAGTCAGCCGTTGGAATCTGGCTGTGCATCAGTATACAGTGCCGCAACGCAAATTAAAAGCGCCATCGGCACCAACATCAGCGGCTGCCGTGTCACCGCAACTCCAACACCACGGCAGTGACCGCAAGAAAACAACAACGAGAACCGCAACACCAGACACAGCAGCAAACAAACAGCAATAATACACCCTTCGTCGCAAACCTGACATGCCCGGACCACAATGTCAACAGTCGTCGTGGTCATTCTCGTCGTCATGATCACTATATGGCATGGAAGTAATGAGTAGCTGAGTAGCTGCCCAAGCAGTACTAGTGGCCGTCGTCGCCGGCGTGGTCGTAGTCTGTAAGACGGAACTGGGCTGTAAAGGAAGCAGCAGCCGTGGCAGCTCCTGGCAGCAGCAGCAGTAGCAGCCAGTAGTAGGGTATATTGTACTATACTTAGAATAAGGAACCCCCCAAAATAGTCTTGGTCATTATTTGGGCCCCTATATTACATAGTAGGAGTAGTAAGAGCACGAGCAGGAGCAGGAGCAGTAGCAGGAGCAGGAGTAGGATTCGCCGTCGGAGTACAGCAGGAGTCGGCGTCGGGGTATACTGGTAGTTGTTGTCATGGTAGTAATAGCAGCAGTGTTTCACTGGTAGAGGTGACAGTTTTGTGGTGCGGGGCATGTTTAACATCACCTTGATGACAACTCTCTTTAGATGCACTGCTGTCACTATGCCGTCAGGTGTTTTCGGTTGCGTTTTGAGTTGGGCTACGAGCATCGGAGCCGCAGGGCTTATCTGAAGGTCGATGCATCACGCGATGCCTCGCGTGCTGAGAACCTGCGCCATGCCCTCTGTGAGTGCCGAAGAGGCGCTGCGGCTGGGGATGCGCTGCGCCTTGATTCAGCTAGAGGGTCTCGATGTATCCTTAACCCTCCAGGTACCTACTCTACAGGGCCCCAAGGGGCTCTAGTACCCTATATAGTAGGTACCTGGCAGATTAGGGTGTGGAAGGACTGGGAACACATGTAATTAATTCGACGTAGCTGTTCTGGATACAACACCATCTGCAAGCCCAGCAAACGCAGTAGGAAAACATCAGTGGTTGCAGAACTTCAGGAGTGAAGGGAGGTCCCCAAAACACCGCAGAAGACGGTAGACCCATGTTGTGCGAGGCAGCGCCATGTTTTCAAACGAACTTTGGCCACAGAATCGGAAGTTGCAATAAGCTGAACCCTAAGCCCCAGGTACCTACAGTATAGGGTACTAGAGCCCCTAGGGCCCTATATAGTAGGTACCTGGAGTGTTAGGGGAAACCAGCCCGAAAGGCTTGCAAGAGTGCAGGGAGCCAAGATCTCTGTAGGCATCTCGATGCAACGACGGGGCCAGAATTCTACCAGACCCTGAAGCCCTATGTAAACCCTTTTGGGTTCAGGGTTTAGGGTGTAAGGTTTAGGGTATAGGCTTTAGGGTTTAGGGTTTCGGCAACCCTTAAACCCGAAACCCTTGACCTGAATGCCCGGCAAATCGACGGCTGTTGACGAGAAGTTCAGTAGCAAGCTGGATATGTGACGAAAAAACCTAAGCCTTATAAGCTTATAGCAATCGTATGGGGGGGGGGGGGGGGGGGGGTGTTGCCCATAGGCTCCATTGTAGTTTTTTGTTGGGTTACCTCATAGGA